TGCTTGATTGGTTCTTTACCCAGGATCAGATTGCCATGCCTGGGTAGCGCACGCTGCCGTTAGCACGCCGAGCACTAGCCGTGGATCACGACAGCACGCTCACGCATCATACGCTTCTCCGGCGACGTGGGCAAGACTTTTCCATCCCTTGTCCTTGCTCGAGTGATTCCAGCTGGCCGTCAGCTTGCCGCATGAAACATTGGTAAATCGAGTCAGTCCACGCACTCTCCACCTCACTTTCGCAAGAGAGTCCTCTCACCTTGAACTTAGTCATGGCTGGTTCCACATGCTCTGCATGGAGGTCTGCCGCCGCCTGCAAAGCTTGATATCGGGGAGACGAAGGGCTGATATCCGCAAATCTTGTATTTCCACTACAGTCGATGACACATTTGCCGGCAACCGCTTTGGTCGCCTTTTCGATGGCCCTGCTACCCTCTCCGACCTCAAGCACTGCACCACAAGATGTCGTCAGGACAAGAAGCAGGTAAAGCCGGGAGTTGAAAAGGCGGAAGTGGTGTGGAAGCGGCATCACGGATGCGCAAGACTTGCGGCAGAAGATGTGAGAACGATAGATGCCTCGAGTCCAGCTCGCGTAGCACGTCGGAGTAGTAGTAGGTGGTGGAGACTCTTGACAAAGGCCACCGCTCTAGACGTAGTGCGGTGACTGTCCTAGCGGATGCTGGTGGGCAAGACGTCAAAGAAGGGCGAAGGACGGAAGCTCGCGTTACATGGCGGTACCGCTCGTCCTACGCGGAAGGTGGACCTTTGGGTGTATGTTGCCACCCCTTGAGCGAAGCCTTCTAGTAATTGGGGCAACTCTCCACGCTTGAGCTCCTTCGCCACTCTGGGCGTCGAGTTGCGGCGCGGGAATCTTCGCACTCGATCACGAATTCACGATGGACGCGTTCCGGCTGCTCATGAAGCCATGCACGCCACTCACGACTTCATGCCCTGTGCGTGCGCTTACTAGCACTCGTCCAAGGTCACCACTGAGCGCCTCGACGTCGAGTTGCCACTGCTGGTCTCGCCACAGCGCATGGATTTGATCTCGCTCGACGGCCAGCATAGCCACGCACACCCGTGCTAAGACTGGATTCCGCGTGGGGGAAATCTACATCCGAATCCTCAGAGCCAGAGCCATTCAAGACTTTGTCGCAGGTCAGACAGCAGCAGATGGCTCATGACAGCGCTGTTCAAAGGGTATGTGCCCCGACGACTGGATTCAGTCCGTACCTGGACAGAAAGGCATGTCTTGGGCTGAAAGGCGACCAACATCTCTGCGGGAAAGGCCCGTAAACAAGTCGAAATGAACGGATTACTGCCCGCCTCGCAGGGCAAGGACAAGCTGTTGCATTGTGCAGTAAATTGGATGAATCCGGAGTCAGCCAAGAGTCGGTCAGATGGATTTGTTGCAGCGCATCCTCGGTACATAGTCAACGCTCAAGCAGTCTGCTCGAGCACCAGCTCGGGCTTGAGCAACCTGTTGGATGTTCTGTCTAGACTGTCTCGAGAGACAGCACGGACATCCTGCCATGCCGTCGACAGAGTCAAAGACTCTACTCACGTGCAGAACACTTCCACCCTCTACACCAAACTCCCTCGCAGTCTTATCGTCATGCATCTGCTTTCCACCAAAGATCAATCTTTGTTGAGCAGGTGGGATTCCTTCCTTCTCCTCAACGCGCTCCTTGATGCGCGACACCTGTGGAGAGATTATTGAAGATTGCAGGTCAGTCGCCTGCCTTTCCCATCCTCGCGTGATGCCTCGAAGGTCAGGATTGAGATCCTTCGGCGCGCCGACTCACCCTATCGGAGCTGTCGATGTCCAGCTCGATCTCTGGTTTATCGTGGGGTGTGAGGAAAGCATGAGTACCGGTTCACCGAGCTGTGCTGGCTGCCGCACTCACCCTTGCCTGTATGCGTTCGAGGCAGCCACCGGGAGGGATCAGACTACAGTGAGCACGATTTGGCGCACTCCTCAGGCACAAGCTGTCTCAAGAATTCGCTCACCTGTGAGTGTCTTGACCTGCATAGGCGTTGCGGAGCGTGTCAGATGCAAGCCACTTAGTGATGAAAGGACGCATGAGGGCGACTCACCTTGATCAGCATCTTGAGGTAGACGTTTGAAGGGAGTTGATTGCTGAATCCAAGTCTTGCAAAGGTCGCTACCTATCTGTGCCACTGCCTTCTAGTCGCTTAGTTCGCCCTGACAGAGTACGTGAGGGTTCTTGGATTCCCGAGCAAAGGAGGTCGGCGCGGGAGATCAAGATGTGCGGCTGCCGCGTGGGATTGCTCTGTCGGGGGTCAAGTTGTGGGTTGTGGATGATTACAAGGACGTCTTGAGTGACGGCCAGGTATACTGCGCGGTTGCTCTACCATGCAGGTTCGCATGATGAAATCACCTGCACGGAGACCACGTGACGCTACCTTGGCGCTACTCACGAGTCGTGAGTGTTGAGTGCCCGTTTGTGCGTTCCTGGCGTGAGTCTGATGCATCTGACTCGACTTCCATCCATACGTATTTTCCGTACGCTCTCTGCGCAATCAGGAGCTCGCCTCCAGCATTTTACACGCCCGAAGATAGCTCAGCGTGTTGGTGTTTCGGTGCACAACAGCTCAGCACCAGTGGTAGCTGCGATCGCCCGACACAGCATGCAGTCCGCAGAGCCGGGCAGGCTCCTCTCGATCCAGTCCCACGTCTGCTCTGGATTTGTCGGCAACCGGAGCGCGACGTTTCCCCTCCAGCTTCTTGGATGGGACGTAGACATTGTGGTGAGCGTGTGACGATCTTCTCATGGCCATACATCACTCGTAGCTAAGGCGGAATCAATCCCCTCGCCTTGATGCATGGACGCGCATGTGCTCCAGAACACCACGCAGCTCTCTAATCACACCGGATATGGCAGGTGGGGCGGCATGCGCTTGGACGATGCGCATCTACGCAATGTATTTGCAGGTCTAGAAGCGAACGGGCTAAACAGGTGGGTGCGTCTTCTGACCGGTGAGTGCGTCGCTCGTAGCACAGCCTCGCGCATCCACGAGTTGCACAGCTTCTGCATCGAGGTGTTAGCTGAACCTGAGCATCACATTCCGCGCATTTCACCAGGCTACACACCATCACCTGCGGCACTGGCCGCTGTGAGCGGCTTCATACGCCGGACGCGTACGGCAAACCGTGATCTGATATACTTGTTGGACCCTGTGCTGGGCGACTCGGACAGGGGATTCTACGTCGACAAAGAATGTTTACCTCTTTATCGCGAGCTCCTGCCAATGTCCAACATCGTGTGTCCCAACAGCTTTGAAGCTCAGTGAGTGGCGATCGTGTCGCTCGCAGGCTTACGCAAGGGCACACGGCTCAGCTCAGAGCCTTCTCTTGTTGATCGCCATCAAGACAACTTGCAGGTGTCGACATTATAGATCGCTCGTCGCTTCTGTCAGCCTTTGCAATACTGCACGCCAAGTATGACGTCGAGCACGTCATCATCACCTCTCTCGAGCCGCTGCCTGCTGATCTGGGAATGAACGCTACCTTGCCCGACGGAAGTCGTGCGATGGTACAGGCTGGGTCAAGCTTTTCGGTGACTCAGTCCAGCAATGTGCCCAAATTGAACGAAGTCACGGAACAAATCAATCCCTGGCTCATTGCTTTCCCCGAGGTGGAAGGTCACTTTGTCGGGGTCGGAGACCTCTTTTCGGCGCTGGTGCTGGGTCGCTTCGAACGGGAGCAGAGCGATGCTTCTGGAAGCGCGAGCGTCACACCTTTAGCAAGTGCCGCGGAACAGGCGATCGCCTCTGTGCAAGGGGTATTGCAACGCACACAAAAGCACATGGCCAATCTGACTCAGCAAAGCGAGTCGAGCGCAGGATGGAAAGGGATGAAAAATGCAGCAGACGACCAGGATGCGACGCTTGTGGGGCCAACGAGCTCGGCTGCGACGCCCGAGGATCTGGCAAGCGCACATCTCCGAGTGGAATACGCTAGAGCTAGGGAATTGAGGGTGGTACAGAGCAGAGAGGAGCTGGAGCGACCGAACGTCCAGTGGAAGGCATGCTGGCTCAAGCGGTGAGGTGTTGTATAGACAGAGATAAGAGTATAGACATGATGTATCAGTCGACCGTTTCCTTAGAGATTGCGATAGAATAATGACGGGTGCATGCCTATTGTTTGCTTCAGGCTCGATCGGCTAACATACCATCCCACCCCATACTAATCATCTGCGGGCATTCTGGAATGAGCTCTGGCACGCCGAACCTGCCCATTTCCCTAAATTCTAAAGATATGTAGAAGGGCACAGCTCCTGGAGTAGGCGCTGCGTCCAAATACACCAGTCTCTGAGGTTGTAGAGGCCGCGCCAGAGCGCCAGGGTTGGGGAACACGAAGGGTCCCAGAGAGATGCTGCTGTCTCGCTGTAGAGCTGACGACTCGAACGTGCGAGCCCAGGCATCCCTGAAAACACCCGCCATCATCTTACGGCCCACCCCTCTTCTCTGGGCAGTCGGTGCGACAGAGAGATATTTCACAACTACGTCGTAGAAAAGGTTCAGAAAAGGGCATGAAAGGTCAGATTCGAAAACGCATTCTAAATCTATGCGGCTTTGTAAGTTCATAAATGTCTCCCTATCTGTCTCGGACTCACAGACCGTGTCTCTACCTTTCACGAATGCCTCTCGAGCTGTGCCCATCCTCTCGGCAAAAAGATCCCAAGCGGGCCGGTGAAGCGTGGCCGGGTAGGGACCTATTTCGGGCAGTTCGCTGGAGAGCTGACCTTGCGGTGCAGCGATTTGAAGCAAGTCAGCATCCACTCGCTCGCCGAGGACTTCCCAGACAATGACGCCCAAAAATTCGTCCGTCGTTGCATCGCGGGCAATGAGCACGCGGGTGACGGGACAGGGCGATGAGGATGCTGCATGCGCAGTAGCAGCTTCGTTTGAAGTGAGACCTGATAGATGCATGGCTGCGATCGCGCGACGCAGCTGACTTGCCCGATATGCTTTCATCGAAGGATGCTTCAGATCCCCAAAGATGTATCGAGCATGTTCGGGATAGCTGTGCGGCGCAATGGCGAGATCGAGTCTGTCAGCGCAGAAGACAGTGATTGTATCGAACGGAGAGCATGTGCTTGTTGTGTGCGCTTACCTCACCGCCAGCAAAGCGCCGGCTTCGTCAATGTCCCGTTCGGAAGATGCGGGATACACCTGGACATTATCCGCCACGAAATTGTAAGGCGAGAAGGACTCATGCGTAGTGGACGCACTACTTGCGGCTTCGGCTTCGGCTTCGTAAGCTGTCATTCTCGGCACTCGTGCGAAGCTCTGGAACGGCCTGTCAAGCACCTTGATCAGTGGTCCTTGCTCACTGTAACAAACTCCGAAGTGGGCCCGCGTCTCTTGCGCTTCACGAAGGCCTCGTCCGGTTCTTGCTTCGTTCCGGAACACTTGCTGACTTGCTATTGTAGGAAGAGGATAGCGAAAAGACCTTGCCTTGAACTTGCTCAGCATGTGTTTGATGATACCGTGAGCGAGGTGGTCATACGGAAGATTAACAAATTAGTCGCATCAAGATGGAAGTCCACAAGCAAGCGCATGGAACCAACACATCACGTCGCGGGTACAAAGTTTTGCGTGACTGCACGCACACGTGTTTGCATGTCGAGTCACGCAGCAGCAGGAAACCTGCCGCTTCTTCCACCAGTCAGAGTCATCCTCTCGATCAACATTGCTGTCATGCGACGAGTCGGCGGGAACGGTAGCGAGGATTGTGCTTCGAAGCGGCAAGAGAATCACGAATACTCATGCTGGCTCGCTCTTGAATGACAAATGTGAATGTGAGTGCTGTTTGTTGACTTCGTGACCTTGTGACTTGGTGCATGATCGCCGCGGTATATATATGGATCGATGCCCCCTGCTTGTTTGCGCCAGAGTGGGACCGCGGCAAAGCATGCATGCACAGCCAGCCCATCGCTTGATTGACTTGAACGCCCTTTGCGATGTGCGTGCACGCTTGTGTACCTATATAGGTATTGCGCTGGCTGTCTAGTCGTTGCGGCCGGTGTGTCTGGCAAGGACCCGGCGGATGGTTGTACAACTCATTGTGATTCACATCACGACTTGCAGGGAGGAGGTCTGGCAGCGACTGAGACACCAGCGGCTAGCTTCATCAAGTCCCGATCGAGTAGGGTCAAAAAAATCCTTCTTCCCTTCACAACAACAACATCCATCACTCACTCGCGTCTACGCCGCTGACAGAGAGGGGAACGGACCGGCACGGCACAGCGCTGTCCCGTCTATTGGCTTTGTCGAGGCTTTGCTCCGATTCCGGCGCGGTGCGGTGCGCGATAGCTTATCTGGCTACATGGCTTGTCTGGCATCGGAATTCAGGGCTCGGCGAGGAGGTGATGGATGTTCAAAAGATCTGCCATCATCATCCGAGCTACTCTGATATCCGTCCGCAAGTGATGTGTCAGGAGCATTCGCGCGTGCCCACCACACGTCGCCTCAGCACCTTGCCACTGACGCACCTTTGTAGACACCATTCCCCTCAGCCGTCAGCTGGCCAGGCCCGACAATGTCGTTCTCAGCACTTGTTTGCGGCGTCTCTGAAGAGTTTCAGTCGGCAGTAGATCAGCTACTGGGCTACCTCGCTCAACGATACTCTTTCACCTTCCAAACGCTTCCCTCATCAACACTCCAACTGATGAACGTGCCAGTTGAAGCTTACCCGAGTCTCAACGATTTGGCAACCAGCCATGGTGCTCAGCTTCAAGTGGTTTGCCAGCGCCAGCAACTCGGGACAAGCAGTTTCGGGCGCGCAGAGTTGGTACAGCCCGCCAGTCGAGGTGCCAGTAAGGATCGAGTCGAGATAGGTCATGGCCTGCCTGCACAAGCTTCGTTGCCTGCGCCGGATGATGGTAGCCGTCCGCCTCCTGAGCCGCTAACGCGGTCAAAGTCGCGGAAGCGTACTCGGGAGACGACGAGCGACACTTCATTCGCACAGGCAGCACTAGCTGGCACAAGCCGTGTGCCCGTCTTGGCGCGACCTCACTATCCCAGTAGGCAAGCCAAACGCTCTCGCACATCCAACGGCTCGACCTCTGCGAGAGTGGCATCGCCTCACAATATGGGAAAAGGGACCAGACGACTCGTAGATGACGAGGACTTTGAGATACTCAGTATCTCCAATACAAATTCATCTACCACCAGCATTTCAGTCCATGGAGAGGTGGAGGCCAGTGAGCAAGACACACCCGAGGCAGAAGAGACCAGCGAAACAAAGGACCATGAAGATGAAGAGGTGGTAGCGACGCCCTCGTCTCAGATATGGGAGCTTGAGAACGCTCAGTTTAGAGCCGTGCCATCTTCCAAAGCCCGACCAGCTTTACTGAGGAGCAAGGGGGTGCGCGCTGCTGGTGCTGCTGCTGAGAGAGCGCACGAACAGCCGGATGGCTCTGCTCCTCAAAGCTCACGACTTGCGGTGAGATGCGCGGCGTCGAGCCCGCAGAAGTTGCTGACGTCGTCTGCACAGAATACCGGCACAGTGGGCGGAGCTACTCAAGAGACCACAGCTCCTCGAGGATTGCAATCGGCTTCTACCAGCCAACGTTGTTCACTGAACAGCTTCTCAACTCAGCAAATGTCATGCATGCCGGCCAACGAAGGTGACACTGCTGCATCGTCGTTGCGCTTGCCACAGCTCCCGCCTGGACACAGCCAGGAATTGGCCGCTTTGCGCATACAGTCGCTTGACGTACTGTCAGGCACCGCCAATTTGCTCCACGCTGACGAACCCAGGCATTCCACGAACGTCGACAGCACGCAAAGAATTCCTGGAGGATCGTCGACGCATGTCGCCACCACTAGAAATCCCTCTCGAAGATTCGTAAGAGATAGGGCTCGCGTCACCGCTGCCAATGCTAAAAAGTCTGGACTGTCCCCTCGCACCCTCGCGAGACGTAACGCTGGAGAATACGAACTAGATGACTTCGTTGTGCTCGACTCCGCCTCTGACGTGAGTCTCAACGACGAAGAAAGCGAAATGGAAGCCGTCTCGCCTATCACTCCTCAGGCACACTCTTTCGGCATACACCGCGTCATCAGAAGTGCTGCTTTACAAGCGCGACCCATCGATCTGTCCGGCTCGTCGGCAATCACATCTAGAGCAGTCGTGTCATCTAGTGCCAGCGGCTCAAGACCACGAGATATTGCTCCTTTGGCTAGACGTGATCCCTTTGCTGGCACCACGTACACGTTAAGAAACGGGCGTCGCGTGGCTTCCCATGTCATCTACGATACAAGGCTGAGCGCAGAAGAGTGGCACAATCAAATGTGCGAGGTGTACAAAGCGAAGGAAGACACCGCCTTGGCTTGGACGGATGGCAGCAGGAAGCAGGGTGGGACGGCCTCAGCAGCTGCGGTATTTGAGAAATTTCCGACGCAGTTGGAGCGCTTGCCGAATGGCTCCTCCGCCTTGACAGCTGAGTTGCACGCCATCTACATGGCTGTGCTGACGGCATCGCACCACTCTATAGGACGTCTTGTGGTCTTCTCAGACTGCCAAGCAGCCATCTTGGCTGTTGCGGACAGGGATGAGAACACCTGGCTCAAGACCGTGTACTGGCCGAGGGCGAGCGACCCTCGAGCAGAGAACAGGCTCAAAGCGACCCGTCATTTGATCAACGAGCTGAAGAAGACCAAAGTCATCCTAATATGGGTTCCTGGCCACAACGGAGTGCCGAACAATGAGATGGCGGACTCAGCGGCCAACTTTGCCGGCAAGCATTGTCCCGAGCGCAGTTGTTGCGAGTTTTTCGGTACTGCAGAAGAGCTTCCAGGAACAAGCTGCGAGCCAGCGATACCCCCCTCTATTGCTTCGTATCCATTCACTTTCACGGCCTCCCTGCCCCGTGGTTCTGGCGGTTTTGCTGCCATTGCACCATCCAATCTACCAACACCAAACTCGAGAGAGCATGCCCCGCCTGGACGGCTCTCCACAAGCCTCGGCGCACAAACGAACAGCGTGCCAAATGCCTCAGCACCTCTCGGCGGAAATGTTCCCGCGCAACGCTACGACCTCAGGTCTGGCCATCCAAGCCTACGCAGAAACCCACCTAGGAGAGTTGCGTTGACCACGGTGGTCCCGCAGCAATCTCCCC